TAAGTATTCATTAAGTGCCTACTATGCGCTGGGACTGTGTCCAGTACTAGAGATGCAAAGAAAAGCACAAACATGGTCTGTGGCTCTATGCCAGGCCTACTCCACGGGCTAGGAGGCAAAGTACAGGTCCAGGCTTGGAAGGCTGGGACCAGGTACCCAGGCATCTGCCCCAGGGCTGGCACGTCTGGGCTAGATGCAGCTAGTGGCAATGGGGTCACATGGGGGAAGAGGAGAGGATAAATTCAGGGAAAGAGTTGGGCAGCGCAGGAGGCCCCCCTCCTTGGGCTGGGGCTGGAGCCTCCAGCTGAGCTCAGGGGATGGCTGGCAGCCTGCTCCCCGGCGATCCTGCTGGCAACGGTGGGCTGCCCAAGGGGCAGTCTCAAGCAGCCCACTACCTTCATCTGCTTTGGCAAGAACCCAATGTGTCCTCTGTGTATTTTGTGTTATTTAAAACCCATCACTTCAAATGCGCCTCCTGCTCTCCCCTGGGTGCTGGGCCCAGCAGTTACAGAAGCAGCCCAGCCATTAACCAAAAGATTCATAAATAATTAAAGATGGAAAAAAAATCCCAAATACGCTTCTCCTTTGTTCTAAATTAAGGCCTCCAAAAAAAAAAAGGAAGAGAGGGGAGAAAAGGGAGAAAGTAGGCATGAGGGCATCTAGGGTCAGGGAACCATCAGGCGGGGGAGACGCCACAACAGCCTTTCCAGCAAGCTTCTCCACCCACCATAGGGGTGAGCACCTACAGGGGAGATGGAAAGTGATGAGAACACTGGACTCTGGTCTCAGCTTTTGCCACCATCTCACTACGGGACCTCATCCAAGCTCCTCTCTTGGGGCCCGTGTCTATGGAATTGAAAAAGGAATGATGGGTCTCTTGTGACTAACCCCTCTTTCTAGGAGTCAAGTTTTTACACTGGCAAAATGAGTGGGATTGGGCTAAATTTACCTCTCTGGGCCTGCTTCCTCATTGATAAGAGGGCTGAATCAGATACCTCCAAGTCCCTTTCAGCTCTGCATCTCCCATGAGTGTCATGATTAGGTGGGAAAGTATTCCCTTTTCTCTGCGTTCAGGTCAAACAGTGCTGGAAGAAGACCATGGAACTGGATCGGCCATGTTAGGGACAGTCTAAAGATCTTGCACAGATCCCAGTAGGACGGTCACTTCTGTCCCTAGCGGGCAGCAGACTGGAATCCTGACTCAGCAACTTCTACTCATGGGACCTCAGGCTTGGTCACTTCCACTCCCTCAATTAGAAAATAAAGGAGTTGGGCTGGGTCACGGGATCTTCACCCGGGATCTGCAAACTTTTATAAAAACGCATTTTGAATACAATTGGTTTCCTTTCTAATCCTATGTTTATTTTGTATATCTAAAAACACAATTCTGAGAAGGGGTCTGTGATACAAAATCAAGAACCCCTGCATTCCATGATCTCTGGGGGTGTCCGAGTTAAAATCCTTTGATCATACAGACTGTTAGTCAGTGGCACTGAGACTTTAACTGGGTCCTTGGTCCCACTCTTCCGTCCGCCCCCTCGATCATCCCAAATGCTCTATCTGTGCTCTTCAAATGTTACAGCAGTCCATGACGTGGGGAATGGAAGAAAGCAATTCAGAGAATTATCCTCAAAGGCCATGCAATCCAAGCAAAGACTCTTCGATATGACAGCTGGTGCCGCTCTGAGACCAGAGACCTCCAGGGAAGGGGAATTCAGTTTTTGGAAGCAGTACTGGGCCAGGTCTCACTGCCAGCAGGTTTTTCCCGACACTCCCACTCCCACTCCTGGTTTTGCTCTCTGGGGGCAAGCAGAACAGTCATCACGTCCCCGATAATTGAGTGGGGAAAGTGAGACAAGGGAGACAGAAACAAGCAATCCTACTTGGACTGGCTTATCTTACTCCAAATTCCTTTTTTCTCCAAGTCATGGTTTTCTAATCTTTTTTTAAAGTGCCCAGTAAATGCAAAGAAATCAGCTTCGGGGCTGACCTTGTTGTCCTGGCCATAACTGAGAAACCCATGGACAGAGGCAGGTGTGGACCAGACACAGCTAGCAGGCGAGTCTCAGATCCAGCTCAGGCACCGGCCTTTGGGCCCCTCTTCCCCTCCATACACATCCGGAAGGAACAGGCAAGACCGGCTATTCGTGACTGGAGCCAAATGCTCTGCACTCCTCTTGGTGCTCAGACTTCTAGCTGAACTTGTAGACCCGTGGATGTGGGTAGAGCTAGAAGGGGACCCAGAGTCTTGGGGTCCAATCCCATCGGATGGAGGAAAATAAGGCTGAGAGATCAGGTCATTTACCCCAAATTACAAGGGTAATAAAACGTCAGAAGGGGATTGATCTGTTAACAGCCGACAGCAGAACCCTGTCCAGATGACGAGGTAATTCTTACCCTCGACGTACAGATTAAGAAATTCCACATGTGCAAGGCAGGATGGTAGGTGAACCTGAGCAGTTATGGAGGACTGGTCAGAGCAGGCATTCCAACCCAAGTCTCCTCTGCCAGCAAGCATAGGGTCTTCCTTCATGCACTAACATCATCTTTTCCCCCTCCAGCTGCCCCCAACTGCCCTGTGCCAAGGGCCCCGCCTATTCCTCCCAGTCACCCAGGCCCACACCAGATCTGTTGGCCCCTGTCGTCATTTCTACCTTCTCAGCATCTCTGGACATCTGCTCATGTGATCACAGGCCCAGCTCAGGCCCCTGCTACTTCTTCCCTGGACTACTGCGAACGCTTCGACTGGCTGCTTTCCCTTGTCTCCCCCTCCACTCAGCGGCCAAAGTGACTTCCCCAAAGCACCGGGTCCGACCGGGTCCCTCTCCTCCATTAGTCCCAGCGGCTCTGAATTACCTGTATAATTTAGAGTCCTTCAAAACCTGACCCTTTCCAATCTCTTTGCAGTCTTACCCTCCACACCCCTCAGAACACAAGACTCCATCTCCCATGTCCCACCTGCTATCTTCGGGGGACTGCTCTACTCCCTTACCTCCATTTCTTTCCTCAAGACCCCACTCCAATCCCATCTAGTCCAGACCTTTTCCAGTCCTGCCAGCTGCCAAAGCTTGTTTCCTCTTTTTCTTTACTTTTTTGGTGAGGCAATTGAGGTTAAGTGACTTGCCCAGAGTCACACAGCTAATAAGTGTTATGTATCTGAGGCCGGATTTGAACTCAGGTCCTCCTGACTCCAGGGCCGGTGCTCTGTCCACTGCGCCAGCTAGCTGCCCCTGCTTGTCCCCTCTTGAGGAACCTTCTCTCAATCTTGCATTGCCTTGTTGCTTATCTATTCTATTAGAAAGGAAGCTCCTTGAGGGCAGGGGCTGCTTTTGTCCTTCCATTCCTTAGCCTTTAGCACAGTGGCATGTGGTAAGAACCAATTGACTTGAACTATCTCATCCCCTTTCATCCATCACCCAAGGTGGTCCTCCCTCAAGGATGGGGCAAAAAAAGCCCACTTTCCAAACTTCTTCAAAAAGCAGAGAACCAGAGGTTCACAGATTGAAAGGCAGCTGGGGCCTCACAGGTGATGAGGAAATGAAGGCTCTGCTTCCTGAGCCAGGGACTTGTAAGGTCACACGAGGAGTGGCAGAGCTAGCATTTGAGCTCAGATCCTCAGTCCATCCCTTTTCCATTGTACTCAATCCCTGGAGGCTGAGCATCTTCCAGATACCGCCAGCTTCCGCACGCAGTACTGGCTCAGCTTCCAGAAGCAGCTGCTTTCCTCTTGAGGTGGGCCAAGCACACACCTGGGCCCAGCACCCGGCGAAGCCTCGAGCACAAGACTCTCCCCGGTAGGGTTCCACCTCCTGCCGCAGCGCACTGGGGAAGGGGGCTCGAGGAGGAAGGGCTGGTGCCTGGCTCCAGCCGTTCCCTCTGCCAGAGACATGACCTGACATCACCCTCCTTCTGAACTTCGACAACCTAGAAAGTTCTCTCCCATCAACCTCCTCCCTCTCCCGACCCTCCCACAGCCAGACGTCCTCCTACAGATGAAACCGACTGCAAAGCTGACCCTGGTGAAGCAGCAGCCCTCTTTAGGGAGCGCGCGGCCCAGTGCCGAAGAATGCACCACGAGTGCCTGGGCTGTCCATCCTCCTCCCTGCTCACCTCAAAGCAAGGGGCCCAGTGGGCTGTCTGTCCATCATCCAAAGTGCAGCCTGCAGGGCGCTGTATTTTACTAGACCCACCAAACCCCAAACTTCAAAATCACAGGAGGATGGGTTGCCCCGCCTCATGGGAAGAAGGCTCTTTCCTGGGGTTGGGCCTTTGCCATGAAAACAAAACCATGAAGTTTAGGTTTTTCTGCTGCATATTTCTAATTCCATCTGGCATGCAGATTTTCCCTTGGATGACCTGCAATTCCAGGAGAACCCCCTGCTGACACACCCTTTGTGGTATTTAGAAAATGAATGGGCACCTTGCAGGCAGACCCAGCCCCGGGCCAGCTCCCTGGACTGCCATAATCCAGGTCTATTGAGCACATCCCTCACTCCCCCATCAATTATTTAAGGCCCAACGTGAGCCACAAAATGACTTCACCAAGTAACGGTCTGATCTGCTCAGTGTGCTGGGGGCGCTTATCACCCTTTCCCCGTTTTATTTGAAAAGTAAAATTTTTGCAGGAACTATTTTTGTTTCCCACATTTCCCAGCTGCTGTTGGCACAGATGCTAGTTTCTTTAGGTGGGGTTTCAGTTCCAGCTAATCAGTGGAAACCTGCTCCGAGCGATGGGGAAAGCCCAAGTTCTCCCTAGACGGTCCATGAGGCAAGAAATGAGAAAAAGCAAAGAGAAGCAGAATCCTAGCAGGGCACAAGTGGAGAGCGCTCTGCCAGGCTGTCTGTCTGGCCTGGGGCCCCTCGCCTCAGCAGCGGCTGACCAGACCACTGTGCCCCGCAGCCCAGCCAGGCCGCCACACTCACAAAAGCCCCCAGTGACGGCTGCTCTGCCGGGGCGGGCAGCAGACTCACAAATAACCAGGCATATATCCCAAACCCCCTCATGTCAAACTGCTTTATTACATCTTAAATAACAGTACATTTTAATATAGTATCTATCTTGCATCCAGCTTCCTTGCAGTACACTGACTTTAAAATTAAATACAAAAGGTGAAAAGGGACACAGGGTGTGGAGAGCTCTACCAGGGATTTCATGGAGAGAGAACGGGCGGGGGCAGGGGCGAGGGAGAAAGAGAGGTTTCTTTTTTTTCTTTTTGCCAAGTCCAGGCCTAACGCACGATTACAGCACATTTTTGTACAGAATGTTGCAGAAAAAACAGAATGGAGAGAAGCCACTACAGCTGCTAAGGAGGAGCACTTCTGGATACATGAGAGGGGAGGCAGTTAACAGAACAATCTACTGTCCAGACGCTGCTGCGTAATATTTTATTTGAAAAGAAAACCAGGAAAACCTGGCCATTACAAAAAGGACCATTCGATACCAAGGACTCGTTCTATGGAGGGTGGGGCGGGGCGGGGCAGGGTGGTGTGTGAAGGACTAACTGAGAGAGGACGGTCCCGCAGGAGTTACGGCTACTCCAGGGCGTGCATAGAGTCATCAGGATCCCCCAGGGGCTTATGCACAGAGTAGCAACAAGAAGGAAGTAGAGCGCAATGGTTACAACTTGAAACAGGTTATTTCTGAAAAGAAAAAAACATCTAAGGACTTAGTCCTATGTGCATTTTTTTGTTTTGTTTTTTTTTGTTTTGTTTTTTTTTTTTTTTAGCATTTCTACAGCATGCGATTCTAAGAGTAAACCCACCCAATATGGCAAACAATCAAAAATTTGTTTTTAACTTAGAAAGTTCAAGATCATTATTTCCAAAACATTGATTTGTACATCATTTCATACACAAAGAATTGACTGACTATCCAAGCACAGGACAGGCATCTCTCTGGAAAATCGAGGCTCCTGATAGTTGGGGGTGCTGGGTAGTGTTAGGGTACAGGAAATGCCCTCCAACTGCACAAAGAAACCCAAAGTAGATAAAAACTTAATTGATGGGGAGAGAGAAGCAGAAGGGGAGAGAAACGGGCGACGGATTGGAGTAAGCTACTCACAAAAGGGGAAAGGTTCTTGAAACAAGCATTCAATGTCATTGACAGCATGTGTGTGCTTGGTTACCTTACTTCTTAACGTTATTCTCTATATGCCATATTTTTGTGCAGCAACAATTATCTGAGACACCAGACAAAAAATAATAAAAAAATCAGGGACTAAATTTACATCATTAACAATCCCAGAGAGGCTGGGCAGGACCCTCTTGTTTTGCTTCATTATTGACCATAAAGTAATCTATTTAAAAAAGGAAATAAGAATGTTTTCAAAACCCTGCTACAAACATGACTTTAAATTTTGAAACCGTTATGAGATAAAACAAAGTCCTCAACTTGTGTTCACAAAACAGGATCACTGGTCTAAAATTTAAATAAAAGACAGTGAAAATCAGCTGTGGGCCTGTTTCACAATTACTCAGCCTTACCTTCTGGTGGACATTTTTATTATAGTATTTCCTTTTTATATTCGTTCAAGAAAAAAAAAAGAAAAAGAAAAAGGAAAACAATGACAATGGTCCCAAAGGAATGCACAATTTGTTTGTTTACAACCACAGAGATTCTTCTTGTAGAGGGAATTGTGCTCTTTGTTTCAGCAATAGGTGAAGGGAAAAAGATCTTGCCCTTTTGAAGTTCTGAGAGGGAGATGGAGGGGTGTCCGAGTTAGTATGGTTGGGCTGGATATGCTATCATGGTAACTCTTCCAAGGTTGGAATGGTCTTCCAGTCATGGCGGAGTCCAACTGGTATCTTAAAAGAGAGGTGGAGAAGCATTAAAAACCTGAGACTTCCACTTGAGGTGGAAGGGCAAAAGCTCCCTGGAGATAAAAACAAAACAAACCCCATGCTCCTACATGTATTTGTCTATCCCTCTATGTATTTCTGGCACACTGCTAAGGCATTTTCAAGAAACCCTGCCGTCCTATGGTCCAATCACCAGCTATAGTTTTAAAACAAACCAACAACTAGGAAGATTAGCTTGTGTCCTGTGCTGACTTGGGAAGGCAGTGAAACTGTCATACCTAGAGGTGTTAGTTCCATATCTTGAGGAAACTATCCCAGGATCCTGTGGCCACCGCCATGCCATCATCGGTCACCCCCAGGCAGCTGACGCGATTATCATGCCCAGCCAAAACACCTAGAAAGCAAAGAGAGCTTCGGTAACGGGACCCCTTAGCTGGCTCAGGCTCACTGGCCGTACAGACCTGTCAGCTTACACTCATCTGACATTCTGTAGTCATCTCAGTAAAACACCGTCCTTAGAAAACAGACAGACAGAAACAAAGCCCCAAGGCAGCCGGTACAAGCAAGGATGACTTCACTGGTTCAGGTTCAGCTGATCCAGGAGTCACCTGAGATCTGGATTTAGAGACCCAGATGAAGTTAAAATTATACTAAATTATAGTAAAATTATACTAAATTATACTGAAGTTAAAATTTATACTAAAATTATGAATTATACTAATCTCACAGATCACAGAATTCTGTATTTCACATTTATCAATCTTCAAATTGTCTAAACTATTTCCCATAACCACTAACTACCACAGGCTCATCTTCGGGATAGAAAAAGAAAAGGGGGCTCTGGAAAGCAAAAAAAAACCTTTCACCATGAAGGGAAGAATCTTAAATAACAATCTAGTTCAAGAGGATTCAAGAGTAATTGTCTCCTCCATTTACAAAAACTCACTGCACCTGCAGTGAGTGGGAGGAAAAATTTTGGAATAACAAAAAGTTGTCCTCAAGGTCACTGACATCATAATGATGGCTGGACACAGTAAATTGCTACAAATACGTTGCTAGGGAGGAAATCATCATTGAAAGTAAAAAAGGTATTTGAAGTTATATAAACGAATAGGAAGTTACATAAACAAATTCAGGTGCAAACACCCTTTACTTCAGAGTACCTAAGTAGCACTTATGTAAAAAGTAGAGCCAAGAACCCACCTATTTGTATTTGAACATTATCTATGGGAATCAATAAATGCCGGTTCATTTCAGTCTGGAGACCAACAGGCTGCTGAAGAGGGGAAGAGAAAGCTCTACCAAATCACATCCCTCCTCCGATGAGTCATTGGCGGAAGCTGCCAAAAGGGGTAACTATTCCCGGCAGCCTCAGAGAGAGGCCTCTGAGCTCGGGACTGTGATTCTCTCTCAATCCTCCTGCAGGCCCCGAAACGCCCTCTGTGGCTGAGCCAGTGGAGCCTGCAGTCAGTCAACTTTTTCAACACTCCTTACGTCCCCAGGAGTTTGCCACCACTGCTGGATGGAATTTTTACTTAGCCGTGGGGAAACTCGTGGTGGCTGGGCCTTCGGATTCACCTTCCAACCTGGTAACAAGCTCACATTTTGGATAGAAAATGTTCTGGTAACACAAGGAAACATGAAATAGGACACCTTACAGCGGGAGCTCAGCTTCACACATCATCGTTTAGAAGATTTAGCAGATTCAATCAGGTATTATTATCAATGAGAAGATGGGATTTTAATAGAGGCTGATACAGTTGAGAAAGGCGGTCTGTCCTCTCCAACTCTGACAAGAGCGGGCTGGGGACATGTGCTGGGTCAGTCAGTCAGTGTCTACTCTTAGCCATGAGGGAGTACGATGGAGGATTACACTGTTCCCTCACCATGAAAACATACCAAAGAAACTTGTTGTAAGACATTTCCACAGAATGTGGCTAGCCCTGCAGAGGGTGTCACCGCCGAACCACAAGCCACACAAATGGAAAGCCCTTCTTAAATGAAGCAGCTCTCTGGACACATCTTTCTTTTGCCAAGAATGGCCACAGGCTCAGATAACTTCGTGTGCTGCTGTTAAGCTAGCGATGCTTTTAGTTTTGTCTAACTTTTCAGAGCCTTGTGGTATAGAAGCACACCCACATTCACGTGTGGCTTACATGGTCACACTGCAGCAACTGCCAAACTGGGTTAACAAGAACCAGAGCCTAGGGGCTGAGCTGCCTGTCTCCAGGGCACCTGCGAAGCCTACCTGCTCTGTCTGCTTTAAGTGCATCCCAGACATTGCAATTGAAGTCATCATATCCAGCCAGCAGGAGGCGGCCGCTCTTGGAGAAGGATACCGAGGTGATCCCACAGATGATGTTGTCATGGGAATACACCATCAGCTCCTGGTCAGCTCGGAGGTCAAAGAGCCTACAGGTGGCATCATCTGAACCTGTGGCAAATGCATTGCCATTTGGAAAGAACTAGAGAGACAAACGAGAGCTTGATTAGGTGGTGTGTCTATCCAGATATGACATAAATAAATGCTCAGAGAGGACACTAATCGTGTGTCATGCCAGGACTGCGACAAGATGTCCAGTGGTTAGGACCGAAATACTCTCCTGCAGCTCTAAGACTTGTATGAATCAGCCTGATACCTCCCAACAGAACTTCTCCTATGATGAACAAGTCAGTGGAAAGGGGCTCAGTGAAACTGCCAGGCATCCTGCTGGAAAGCAGAGTCCCACAACTGGAGAGGTTTCCTATTTAAAGGGGATACTCCCCCCTCATAAAGTAGAACACACTGAGAGTGCTCTCACTGTAAAGGCTCTTATGAATAGATTGCTGAATCCAGTTCCTTGGACAAAAAGAATACAACAAATGGCTATTTTGACATTAAAACATAAAGTTTTTCCATACAGTTATGGTAAGAGATACAGTAAAATTCCTTTAACACAGTCATCACTAAATTAGATGGCTTTGGAAATGCCAGATAAAATATTATTTTCCCAATTATTGGTTAAGGTGTCTAAAATGGGCATTGTTTCCCACGATTAAAAAAGTAAAAAGTAATTTCTGAATCTCTAGTTTATTTCCCTCTGCAGCTCTCTAGGTAGCAACAGTTGATGAGTTTCAAATTAAACTGCACATTTTACTAAGAGCAAATGTGGTTAAAAGCTTTAGTGAAAACTGGAACACACTAATAGCAAATATAGAAAATGTGGCCATTGACAGAGGGTAAAACTAAAAAGAAGATGGAAATGTGCCATGTTCTTATAGCTGATGAATGAGGTTTCAAAAACTGGATTTCTTATTCTGAACCCTTAAACAAAAACCATTACATTCTCTACAGGCATCCAACCCATTTGTACAGCATGTTAGCAAATCTGGGCTCTTACAGTAAAAAACAGATGACCTAATACAGAAAACACTTCAAAGATGAATCAATGACATTCCCTAAGACTTCCAAGAACTAAACCTAATTGCTAACAGAGCTGGGTATGGATGACCTCATGAACACAAACTGCATTTCCCCAAACCTAAGTACATACGTACACAGATGGCGTTGATGTCAGATTCGTGGCCGGTGAAAGTTTGCCGACACATTCCTTCTCGAACGTCCCACAGTTTGGCTGAAGCATCACAAGCTCCAGAAACAAATAATCTGGTGTCAGGGGCAAGAGAAAGACTCATGACATCCCCGGTGTGCCCAGTGAAGGTGGTTGTCTGTTGGCCAGTTTCTATGTCCCACAAAGCACTGCGAAAAGAGAGGACAGGGCAGATGTTAGTCTCTACCACAAGGAGAATGCTCTGTGCTGAGTCACTTAGTACAGTTTTATTAGATTTTACTTAGAGCAGACATGTTTTCTATTATCCTCTTTTTTTAAGTGAAGAAAGGGGAAAGTATACTGCTGGGCAGTAACAGACCCACAACCACAGAATGTCAGGTTCACCTAACTTGACTCACGCTCCAACGAGAACCCATGTGGTCCTCTGGCCTCGAGAAGCTGCCCACTCTACTCACATTTCTCTTCTTTTAACTTCTACTCCCAGCTCCTACTGCTGCCTGCCAGTGGGGAGTGGGCGGGGGGCTAAGCACTTTGCCACATGTTATTGTTCAGTTGTTTTTCAGTCGTGTTTAACTCTTTGTGCCCCTATTTGGGATTTTGTTGGCAAAGATACTGGAGTGGCTTGCCATTTCCTTCCCCCATTTTATAGATGAGGAAACTGAGGCTAAGAGGGTGAAGTGACCTGTCCAGGGTCACAAAGCTAGCTAGTTTCTGAGGCCAGATTTGAACTCAGGAAGATGAGTTCCTGACTCCAGGCCCAGGGCTCTGTGCACTATGGCGCCACCTCGCTGCCCCATTCCATATGAAGCCCCTTCAAATACTGAATGAAGTTCTCACATGCCCCTTTCCTCTCCAGGCCAAACATGCCCAGTTCTTTTGATCGATTGTCACATGACTCGGACCCAAGACCAGACTCCTCTGGCTTATCTCTCTAGGATGTTCTGAGTCACTGATGTCCTTCCTAGATCATGATGCCCAGAACAGTCTGCACCTGTGGTCTTACCAAGCTCTGGCTCTCTGAATGTAGCCCAAGAGAGGGTTAGCTTTGGGGGCTGCCACAGTTCACATTTGGCTCATAGCCTACATGCAGAGGTCAATAAAATGCCCAAGTTTTTTTTCAAACAAACTGCTGTTAGCCATCTCTCCCACCTTGCACTTGTGTAGTTGATTTTTTTAGACCCAAGCATAAGACTCAAGACGAAATCCACAGGAATCAATATAATCAGATTTGGCCCAAAGTTCAGCTCCATCAAGATTGTTAGATCCCAAATCTGTCACCCAGTGACAGATTAGCTCATTTCTATGTCATTCACAAACTTGGTAAGGATGTCATGGACAATTTCCTCCACGCTTCTGATAAAACTACCTAGCAGTACAGGTCCAAGGCGCTCTAGTATCACTGTCTCTTCCGAGCTCTCAATGAACCATAAAAGAACTCTGGCCACCCAGCTACTGCTGACCCCCTCTAACAGTACAACTGCCCAGTCCACATCTCCATCTTTTCCACAAGAACAGTATGAGGTACTTCATTAAGATCCAGATAAGCAAGATCACAGCAATCTCTGAATCTAACAGTGTAGTAGTCCTGTTTAAACAAAAAACTGGGATATCTGTCCTTCAATTCTGGTACCTTTCCTATTTTCTGAAATCTCTGAATAGGGATGAGACTGTTTGGCCTCAAGAGTTTATAGAACCAAGAATGATAGATGGGAGTTTCAAAGAGGGACATTTAGGCTCGAGATCAGGAAAAACATGTGAACAATTAGAACTCTCAAGAACTAGAATGGATGGCCTTGGGAAATAGTGGAGGAATAATGGAAGGTCTTCAAGGAGTAGCTAGATGGCCATTTGTAACCTCTATTACAAGAGCGGATTCACTTTCGGGTACAGGTTGGACTAGAAGGCCATCAAGGTCCTTTCCAACTCTAAAATTTGATGGCTCTATGAAGCATCATTAATGGTGGGTAAGCAAGCACCTGCTCCAGTCCTTGCAGCCCCCAAAGCCACAGGTCATCTGAGCCAACTACCTTCTTTCCAAAGGCAGACAGGTGTTCTTACTAGTGCCTCACTTCCACTGGGACATCCTCCTTGAGACAGAAAAGGGAAGCAAAACACTGGAGCAGTTCTGCCACTTTTCTACAGTCAAAGCCTCTCGTCGAGCCTGCCTAAGCAGAGGTCCTATCCTTTCCTTTGAGATTTCTCTTCTCCAACACAGTTTAAAAGCAAGCAAACCCACTATCAAAGACCCCGTAAGCCTTACTTGCCAGGTTTGACTCTTTCAGAGCGCGAGCTCCTCTGATGCACTCTTGCAGTAATGTGTTACCCTTTTACAACTGTCCATTTTCTGTAGATGAGAGTTTGGTATTGTGGTGAAGAGAAAGGGATCGGAAAGAATCAGGAAGACCTGAGTTCAAATCCTGCCTCAGACTGTGTGTTTCTAGGTCGGTCATTTAACTTCACTTTCCTCATCTGTAAAATGGGGATAGCAATAGCCCCTACCTCATAGGTTGTTACGAGAATCAAATGAGGCAAACTAACTCTAATTACTATGATGATGAGGACTATTACATGCCTTTATAAAACCTAAATAGTTAGTGGCTCTCTGTGTATACACGACAGCCTTTTCAGAAAACAGTCTTTCCTCCTGAAAATCGTTTCCCTTCGAGTCTTCAGTTGTTTCCTGTCTCTGCTGGAGAATCCTAGTTCACGGGCCCTTCTCTCCCTTTCCTCTGACCATCTGCAATCCATCCTTCCCAAATGCAGGGTGCACGCCAGACTATGTCCGCAGGTCACTCCCTCCTCACCCCCAAGGTTTCCACCCTAGCAACCAGTTTCTTCCTGATAGTGAGAATCAGAATAGAATTTGGCCTAAGTAGATTTTCTACCTTTTGAAAGTTGAAATTATCACTAAGGTTAAGTCAAAAAGTTATCAGCTACTCTGCTTTCAGCAAAAAGAAGAGAATTTCAGCAGATGTCTGGGAACTGAAGACCCAGTGAAATCAACCCTTAGCCTCTGTGCTGGATTGGTGAACTGTTTCCCAAACTTCTCACTTATTTCCCCTTCGTCCAAGTGATTTCTAGTTTACTCTGATGGCCCTCCATCTCCACCCCACATTCTCTTGTTTGAATCTTAAAAAATTTTCTTCCATGAATACAACTTCTTAATATATAATGCCACCTACTACCCCCAGTCTGTCTTATCATGTTTCTTTTCTTTTTTTTGCGAGGCAATTGGGATTAAGTGACTTGCCCAGGGTCACACAACTAGTGAGTTATCATCTGTCTGAGGCCTGATTTGAACTCAGGTCCTCCTGACTCCAGGGCTGGTGCTCTATCCACTGTGACACTTAGTTGCCCCTTATCCTATTTCTTTTGAAAAAGGCATCTCCATCCAGTCTCCCCCAAAGTCTCAGTAAAATCTGTGATAAGAAGACGAGGCTAAATTTATCTCTTTGCATTAGGACCTACAGCTAACTTTGCTTGTCACCTAAAATTGATGAGAATATATAAAAACACCAGAGGTCATGCATTTTGCTAGGGGATCCTTTCTTCTTCCCATGTGGAAGATCTACATGGGCAGTTTTCCCCCTTTTTGATAATTTTCAGGTTAAAGCCCTTTTGATCGGATTTGCAGGGTACCAGGCCGAGACTGTCTCACCAGCCTTGCACAGGAGCCTGTCATCCCTATCTTTTATGATGTAATCCAGAAATCCAAATCCGATTCTCAGAAGCCTGAGAACATCTTTTTAGTCAGACATTCACTTTCCAAATCAGCTTTTCTCCATGACATTCCTTGCTTCCAACAGATGGCAGAGATGAGAAGACTACCCACGGCTTTACGGCCTCCAGCTTCTTGCCCCAATAACCTTTGGCGATGCTTTCTAGGCTGCTCCTGGCACCATAACTTTCTGCTCATGTCAAATGCCAGAAATGGAGTCATCTGGTTTTGACTAAATACCACCCCTACCCCCTGGAAGAAGCCTATGTCTCTGTGTTGGGTGGGTTAACAAATGGCTGCGTTGGTATTTCCCAGGCACCCCCAACCACCGTCTGCTCTTCCCCTCCGACCCTTAGTGGGTGACCTCTCGCCTGATGGGTCCAGTGGCCCCTCTTGGCTCTGTAGGATAGCCTTCCCCCCTTACCTCCCAGCGGGGGCCAACTTTTTCCTTTGCCTCTTCAGGTCCTTTTTATATATATCCCCCTGCCCCTCTTCCAGTTTCAGGGTCAAACTGTTCCACCATCTCTGATAACCTGAAGCATGAGGCAGTCCCCTAAGTCCCTTTACCGTCTCTCTTAGGGAGACCTCCCTTCTTCCCTGCACTTTGAAAATAGGAGGAAACAGTCACTTGGCTTCGGCAGAAAGACAAACATCACACATTTGATCCAACCTATAGACACTTCTACTCACTGTTCACAGTGAGACCCGAAATCAATCTCTCAAACTGCTCACGTGCTTTTACAACAACCTGACGTAACATCTTCACACCTTTTCATCACTAGTTAACAACTTGGTCATTGCCTTATGTTCTTTGGGAACCATTAACAATTGCATCTATACTGTGAAGAGTTGGTTGGGCAGCTAGCGGGTGCCTCAAAGTACAGAGCGTTGGGCCTTAAGTCAGGAAGACCTGGGTTCAAATCCAGCTTCAGACACTTACTATCTGTGTGACCCTGGGCCAGTCACAAATGGAGATCATAACAGCACCTATCTTTCTGGGTTGTTGTGAGGAATAAATGAGGTATTTGTGGACTTCTTTCTTTTTTTCCCCAAGGAGGAAGGAAAACGTCTAATTCCGAATCCTTTCAGTAACAGACTCCACGAGTTGGAGACATGTGCATTAACCAAGAAGTGCCGAACTGTCGACGTGGGGCTTCAGGGGCCCACAGAAGCGGTGGCCGTCTCATGGGTCTGACAGACACTCAGATCTCCCTTCCTCCCCACTGACTTCCCTGTTGTCTTATTCTGTACAGCTCATAAAATCCTTACCAACTTCTGACAGACTCCAAGAAAGACGTACACTCCTGAACAAATGACTCAGACATCGCTACTACCTGGAAGGAAACGGCTAAGACTGACGTCTTCCCCAAAGAACAAGCTTAAACCTGGTGCAACAAGGCCCGTGCCAGCAAGCCCTTCAGGCTGGCCACAGGAGAGATGGAGATGTGCACATTCTAGGCTGAGGTCAAGTGGCCCAAACTCAGTGCCATCCCACAGAACCTGAGACTCTCGGATTATAAGAAGGAAACAACCTATTTCTGGGATTCAGAAGTCACTCATATGGGAGCCCCTTTTAATATCAGTTTCTACAAAACAAGTTTTCTTAGAGTGGGGTCTTCTGCCCCCTTCCCCCAAAGGACTTACTGATGCTTTGTTTCTGTATCAGCTGCTTCAGGATAAACCTTTCCCACCTGGCCCTGAACTGGACTCTCTCCCTCGTTAACAACAAAATTCAATAATGTAAAACTGGCCATGAGTCCGACATCACGCTCCTGTGACTACAACCCTGTCCTCCGCCCTCCGCCTTGCCCCTCACTAAGACAGAAGGCACGTATGATAATCTCTACAGCCGAGATTGGTCATTGTTCTTCTGCTTTTTAAGAGAAACCAAAAGTAATATACAGCTTTTAAAAAATACTTTAGAAAAAATTAGTTTTCACAAAATCTCATCTTACAGAATTAGTGATGTTATTTCCCAAGTTGTACTTTGGTAAAGAAAACTAAGTAAACTGAATAGGTCACTTCATTTTAATGGCAAAGAAATTTCTGTTAACATTAATTTTGCTATTCTAATTGTGTTACTGAGTGCAACAAGTAAATGAAAAAAAATGTGACCCCTTCCCCAGCAGGCTCTGGTACCTCCACAAGGCTGAATGATTATGCAAATTTAGAAATTTGGTGAAATTGGATACAGCCTCATCTTGAGTTCTTGAGCTCTCAGTGCGTATCATAGGGACAAGATTAAGTAAAGCAGTTTCTTGAATTTATTTTATCCCTCAGCTCATTGGTTACCATAAAGGGCTGGGATCAGACCCTACAGAAGGTGGTCTCTCCTGCCACTCCTCCAGAGGACTCCACCTATTTACTGCAGTGACTCATGTGTGAAAATAAAGGAGATTTTGCATTGCCCAACAGTTCACATGTCCCAAGTTTCATTACTATTTATATATGTCAAACTTTAGATTTCATGGCCCTGTCTACAAAGCCTGGAGCCCCAGGTCGCACACCAAAGAGACAGATGAGAAGCGCCTTGTCAGGGCCTGCCACTCACCAAGTGGTGTCTCCAGAGCTGGTGACAATTTGATTATCATCCAGGAAGCGGCAGCATGACAAGTAACCTGGAAAACAGAGCACGAAGACTGAAAGTCAGAGCAGAACCCACACCTCTGGGAAAAATGTTTATGAAGATTTAGAGCAAATCCAAGGCTTTGGTGTGCAAAGGTTTTCTATGCAATTGCTCAGTTCTATAGTTCAAAGTCTTAAGGTCATTATTATACTACTACAGACAAGATTTCTATTTCTTTTTGTATGCCCTAGGCACAGTTAAAAAAATACCCCCCCCCCCCCAAAACCCAACCAACCAAACACACAACACAGTATTTATTCCTGGGGCAGAAGCTAGTTTTGATCTAGGCAAATGGTGATCTGCAGAATTAAGGTAAGAGAGGTAAGATTACCCAAGGTCTGCTGAATACCAGGATAAAATAAAATTTAAATTAAATTTATCCAAGAAAAAATACATTATGTATATACATATTTTTGGATGTGATATACACACAATGTCCTTTGATTTTAACTACACAAAAAGGAGTAAATACATTCACAAACACACACCAATTTTGGAGCCATTCTAAACTCTGAATCCCATTGCCCCAGTATTTTGGATCCCCCCTGCCTCAATACCATTTTTCCATTTTTTTCCTCCACTTGTGTGGCTGGCCCCTTTTCCACTGTAGACACACTCTCAGCACGTGGACGGCTGCTGTAGCCAGCCCCCACCTCTGTCTCTCTGCCTTTTGCCTTTCCCCCTCTCTAAACATCCTCCATGCCACGTCTTGTGTGATGTTCCTGAAGCTCAGCTTGGACCAGGTGGCCCTTGGCTTCATAAGCTCCAATGGCCCAGACTTTAGGATCAAATACAGGCTTCTGACACCTATTAGTCCCCTTCCTGCCCAGTTCTCGCTGTTCCCAGCCTTATGAATCTTCCTGTCTTCCCTCTATGCTTTTGCCTGGAATATATGTTTTCCTGATCCTGGCCTCTTACACTTCCTTACTTCCTTCAAAACTCAGCTGAAGTCCCACCTTCTGAGCAGATGATGTAAGGTCTACCCTGATCTCCCCCTTTAAAGAGCTTTACCTTGTATCATTCTGCATCTTCTGTGTATGTGTGTGTGTGTGTGTGTGTTTGAGGGCAAAGACTATTGTATCCCCAGAGCCTTGCACTTAGTAGGTTCTTAATAAATGTGTGTCAACTGACTGTAAGAACCATCGAGCTATATTGGTGTCACACTACTTAGGGAAAGTGATTTTGAAGGATGGGGAAGAATACTAAATTCTCATATGAATGAACTAGTTTCCAGTGAGTAATAATTTCTATATATTAGAGCTGTGTAGTTTCTGAAGCATGTGTGATCAAAACGCCTCTGAAAATGGTTTCTTTAGATCACCTCCACATCCTGTACCCAGAAGCCTCCTCTTCAAGAAGACACACATTCCAACTGTTCCCTTCCAAATCCTAGCCAGACACCTCAGCTCTTCATCCAGTTACCACTCTTTTCAAGTTTATTATGAAACAAGGCAGAGTGAAAATTTCAAATTACTGAATTTAAACGGAACACCCTAGTTGTAGGTCAGGGTACACAGTGCAGATGACTCAAGTTCAACCCGAGGGTCCCTTTTCACTTTTAGTGACGTATTCTGGAGAGACTTGATTTATCTTCATTTAATTCCTACTTTTCCTTGTACCTGAACACACTATCAGGAAACCAAAGGTAAAAGCAACGTCTGAAGAATGCAACGCACCAAAGACAACATAGGAATGAGATTACTAGCCAGCCCTAGTTTGGGGTAAAAATAAAGACCCCTCACCTGTGTGCCCAGCCAGCTCACGACTCACGCGCACATTTCCCTCACGAGTTTTCAGATTGTAAATGGAGCAGATGTTGTCAAGCCCACCACAGGCCACGTAGTTGCCAGAAGGTGCATATGCACAGGTCATGACCCAAGATGAACGCAGAGGAATGGCATGGACCTTAGAACGACAGGGACAGATTTTATGTCTCCTTTTTGGCTCTTACTTTATAGTAGGAGGCAGCAGAAAAGAAATGTGTAAGTATGCCTACCACAAGGATCAAAAGTACCTTGAGGATCACCTGTACACACAGTCAAATTAAGCAATGATTTGATTCACATTTCAGTGCGGTCTGCACATTAGTGGAGAAGCCAATTTAGATCTACAAGTCTACAAAAAAGCAAGCTAAAGCTCAACAGAGTGCCCCTGACTACCACTCTACGGACCCAATAGCACTGTTTCTTTGGTGCATCAACATGAACAATGAATGTTACCAATATGAGCAATGACACGGCAATGAATTTTGTTTGCAGATTTAATGTTTTGTTACAAAACACGGCACTTGTCCTTAAGAGCTCTTATAAAAGCTTTAAAAACTTTCTGGGGGTATTACATGTCAATTTTATGACATCTTAAAAGAACCTAAAATTTCAACTTTGTATTAAATTTTGGAAGTGGATATGATCCTTGCCCCTCTGCGCCCAGCATTTTTCAAGAATAAAAACCGTCTTCTTTTTTTTTTTAAATTTTCTTTTTGGCTAGGCAATGGGGTTAAGTGACTTGTCCAGGGTCACACAACTAGTGAATATCATGTGTCTGAGGCCGGATTTGAACTCAGGTCCTCTTGACTCCAGGGCTGTTGCTCTATGCACTGAACCACCTAGCTGCCCATGTCTTTCTTTAAATACTAAATTTCGGATTGTATTTTTCGGCCCATATGCTCTTCCGCCTACTTCTGTAAGCCGAGCCCCAAAGCGGTCCCCATTTCCCTTGGTCAGAACAGCCCTGGGAAGGTGTGCTGGGCAGTCTCATCTCTGTGAGATGCTCCTGTGGCTGACGCCCATGTGGCTAAAAGCAACTGTAAAAACCTCATCACCTTCAAGGCTCCAGTGACTCTACCACTGTAGATTTAGGTGGGGAGGGAGGGGGAGAAAAATTTAAAACTCAAAAGCTTATGGAAGTGATTGTTGATAATTCAAAATAAATTAATTAAAAAAAAAAGATAAAGATTTTATTTGCACGGCAATAAGCCAACGAGTCTATTCTGCAGAGCAGAGAACTGAGCCGCCATGTTGTCTTGGTCTCCCTCACCTTATTTGTGGTGTAGCTATCCCAAATGATGAGCTTGCCATCTTGGGAGGCACTGACTAGAAGCCTGGAAGAAAAACACAAGGTAAACATATGTGAGTACCACAGTAGCCAAGAAGGGGCAGCTCATTCTTACTTCAGGGGGAAAAAAGAATACAACTAGAACATTCTATACATCTATTAGAACATCTGAATCCTAGGAACCTTTATGATTTAGACAAGCTATCCTACCAAAGGGAAGAGAGATCTTCACAAGTCATATTGTATTCCTTGTAATTTGGGCCCACTATGCAACGTAATTTGTTTTTTTTTTTTTTCTTTTAAAAACTCTTGACATCTTTTGTTTGTCAGCTGCTGACATTTCTCCATATTGTACACCGTCACCTCCCTCTTCCAGAATTATTTTCTATGTCAGAATTTTTTCTTTGGAGGAGAGAGATGTTGGAAGTCATCATTATTCAGTCAGAATGGGTAAAGCTTTGAACACTTCTAGTATGTTTTTGTGCACTTGGGAAATAGCATTGTTGTTTTGAAAGACATTCTATACAGGTAAAACATTTGAAATACGTTTAAAGACAGAAATAGTTTTCCTTTAAGAACTTTGTGCTAGTCTCCAGGAAAACAAAGACAAACTACTATACTGTTGGTGACACTATGAAATGTGGAAAGTAGTTTACACTTATCCTAGAAGAGTTAAAAGGTCTATAGTCTGACACAGAGGTCCCACTTCTGGGCATAGAAAGTCAAATATGTATCTCAAAATATTCACAGCAGGAACAGAATAAATATCTATACCCCTGGGGAACAGCTGAACAAATTGTGGTACATGATGAAAATGCAGAATTCAGAGAAGCCTGGGAAGGCTTCTGCAAGCTGGGGCAGAGTCCAGGGGACAGAACTGTAGGATCACAGAATCACACATCTGGAGTGGAGAGGGCCTCTCAAGGTCACAGAGTTCAGAGCAGGAAATCTGAGGCCCAGGAATGGTCAGTGATTTGCCCAAACAGTAGCTTACAGGTAGAGAGCAGGAGAGGCAGGTAGGATTCGAACCCCAATCCTCTAACCACAGACCCAGGGTTCCTCCTACTGTTACTACAGCTGCTTCTTCTGCAACTACAATGCAGATGGAAAGAACAGAAAACTGAACCACAACTTCTAGTTTTAATCCAACCCTGGCCATGGAGAAGCCCCAAGATAACACTTTCAAAGTGAAGAATTACGGGTAAGAGGAATATTGAGTACCTCTCAGACATGGCTAATGTATCGATCACTTGCTGACCTGCCTTTTCCTTCCTTCTAAAACTTTGTTATAAGCAACGGCTTGCTGGGGAGAAGAGCAAGCCAGGCTGTAGCCAGAAAGGAAGATGAGCTGAAGACAAAAGGTGTGCCAAGACGCAGCACCATCGGCTGAATAGGTTAGAACCCCAAATTCTGAATACCCAAGTAGAATCAATTCTGACCAGGGCATGTCTTTCCTCAGAACTGGGAGGGAAAGTGCTTTGTAAACAACCAGGTCCATGCAGATGAACTGCGTGACTCAAAACTGCTGGGGTCAGACATCTTCTGAGAACCAGTAAACTAGGTATCAACTAAAATTCATTAAAGTTTTGAGACCTACATACACACTTCCAAGGCCACAGGCAGTAGAAAATCCTGAGTGCCTAATTCTCTGTCCCATTCTGACACAGTTAAAGACTAGATACAGAAGGAGTAAGCTTTCAGGCTTCCGAATGTCTCCTAACAATAAGCTCTTTCTGAGAACAATTTTAATCATGCTTTTTTCCTCCCTCTGGGTAATTGTGCTAATTACCAATGTGACTTTCTTGATGAACAGTTCAATTATACAGGTTTGGGATTTATATGCTGAAAGATTTGTAGCATCCTTGCTGGGCAATGAATTTTGAACTGAAATTGCAATTTATTTAAAAAAATTTTTTTTATGGCAGTATTAGACAAGACCCTTTAACACAAATGTATATCTAGGTCAGAAGAGATCATTGCTACCTCATCATTCTTTGAATAAATATGTGAGTCTTTTAAGGAATACTGAAAAGGATTTGATGTCAGGTTTATTCAGAGTGCTTATTTGAAGAAGACCACAAGATTTTATCATTCAGGTTTTTATCATTTAAGTCACAAGACCCATTTGTCTACCTGCGTGACTACTTTGGTAGACGTTGTGACTAGGAGCAGGAGAAAAATCTGTTATGATTAACCTTAAAACAGACCTAAAAATTACTTGGGTCTTTGTGTACAATCTGAAATTTACTCATTTATCCCAGTGTGCAAATTTTAGATTATTTCCCAAAGTTGTTTGGTAGGGGTCATATTTCAATGCTACAACATGTGGAAAATTAGCTCTTAAAGATAAAACTCCTGAATAAGAGAAAGTCACCCATGCATTACTCATGAAACAAGATAAAACCAAGCCTCTAGTCTTCAAAGTTACATTATAGACTTTAAGCTGTTATTAGTTCACAGAAGGACAAAACTTCAGAGCTGGAAGGTACTTCAGTGGTGATCAGGCATGACCTATAACCAACAAAGAAGGCCACGCTATAATACAATGCTGAGCTTGCCTTGGCTTGTGGAACTCCCAGGAGAGAGGAAAGTCTACTACTTTGGAGACCCTTAATTATTAGCACGTAGTCTCATTCCTGTTGGGCTTTTTGCAATTTCTACTTACTGCTCTTGGTTATGTTTGCTCAGCCCTGTCACCTGTCCCCAAAGTTACTACAATGGCATCATACCTGGTGTCCCGCCTCCAGCCCAGCCCCCACCATCATCCACTCAGCTGCCAAAGAGATTTTCCTTAAGGTCTGACTATGGCATCTCCCACTCAATAATCTCCTCTAGGATAAAACATAAACTCTGCTTAGCATTTAAAGCCCTTCACAACTTGGCCCTAAGCATCCTCATTGGGCATTCCTCTTTCCCCTCACTCTTCCATCTAGATAGCCCAATTGGCCTTCTCGCTGTTCCCATCTCTGCCTCAGAGAATCATCATCATAACAGCTAACATTTCTGTAGTGCTTACAGATATTTCATCTTCGCAACAATCCTGCAAGCTAGATGCTATTATTATCCCCGTTTTACCGCTGAGGAAACTGAGGCTAACAGAGGCAAAGTGCCTTGCCCAGGGTCACCCATCTAGTGAGTGTCTGAGGCCAGACTTAAACTCAGATCTTCCAGACTCCAAGCACAACCCTCTTTGCACTGTGGTACCCCACCCCACCCCAAAATGCCCGCAGATATCTATTATTCTTCCTTCATGCTGTAGCTCAAACACCTCCTTCTGCATTTGACTTCTCCTGACCCCCTTCCACTGCCTGGCTCTTTAACTGTGTCCTCTCCATTTGTCCTTCTGTATTCTGTACTGGTCTTCCCCTCCATCTGAATGGAAGCTCCCTGAGGAGAGACTGTTCTCTTGTTCAGTGCACACTCAGCACGGCATCCTCCCTTTTTCTTCCTGTCTGTCTGTTCCCACGTGTCCAGTTCTTCCAACTTATCTTCATGGAGTGTGAGGCCCTTCCCTATCAGCTATCATATTAATAATACAAAGTACATGTCTCCACCAAATAAATTTTTACTGTAATTTTTCCTTAGCTCAGGCACAAAAATACCAAAAGTATTTCTATGCACAGGTGTAATAGTGTCGCTCTGCTCTTTTTAAATTAATCTTCTTTTGTGGCATGATAAAATTCTATACTACCTTACTTATAAGTACAGTGCTGAGAATTAAAACGACCTAAAGAGAGAAAATCAGCCCATTTTCATTAGATCAGGAAAGTTACCTTCAGTGCTGTCTACTAATTAGAAATACCCTTAATACCTACTGACTAACTGAAGAGGGTAGAAGATCCTAATCTCTTTATTCTTCTTGAAGGTGAGGAAACACAATCCTGCTAATCTCCAATCAGGAAACCATGTCTGACAGGTATTTAAGAATGTAGCCTTTCGGGGGCCTCAGTTTCCTCATCTGTAAAATGACAAGTCTGGATAAACTCCGTATCTAAATTCATGATCCTATATGCTATAACCAATTTTAATGGCCATTACTAAAAACAGTTACACCTCAATGATCCAGAATTCAGTTTATCTTGAAGCCCTATCAGGAACACTATATAGTAAGCAAATAAAAAAAGGCTTATCAGATAAAACTGAGGTCTAAATTCTTGTACTTACTATTTGGAGAGCTTCCTCACATCCTACTTATTCTTAAATTATACATAATTCTGAAACAGCCTGGTTATTAGACAATGAATAATAACTAGTACTTTCCTTCCCCTGGAGTGTAAGTCAAGTATGATTATGCCCATTCTTCAGATGAGAAAACAGAAGCTCTGAAGAATACGTGATTCGCCCATGATCATGGTGGCTAAGGCAGAATCTGAACCCAGTTCTCCTCGACTGAAGTTTAGTGTTCCCACCCACTATTCTTCACAATCACTCCCAGAAAAGCACCAAACTTTGTGTCCCACTGCCTCTGTCTCAGTCAGGTCTGCGTCCTTATCACGGCCTTCCCTTTGTTCATGGCCTGCCCCTCGCCTCCCTACAAAGCTGAGGAACTCTTCAAGGTCCAGCTCCAACACCATCTACTCCATGAACCCTCCCTTCTCTGACTGCTCCAAACCACAATGATCTCTCCTTTCTCGGGAGAGTACTTACTAACTCCGTACATGTTTCCTACCTGGGATCGGAAGGTTCCTGAAGAAAGAGGCTGTGTTCATTTTATTCTCCCCCACCCTCCTTAACCTACCATGAATCCAGGGAAATAAAAATGAGAAACTGAGAGACTTTTCATTATGCTGCCACATGAGCAAACAAGAGTTAACACACCAAAATATCCAAGGGAGGGAAAAAAAATTCAAAAGGCTGACACTAGTACCTGGGGAAAAAAACCAGTTGCCTAGGTCTGTTTAGTTTTAAGGACCAAAGCCCTGACTGACTGCATCACTGTGTAGGTAAGATTACTGGCTCCGATGCTCACCATTCTAGCTCATGGGCTCTTAACCTGGGGGCCATGGATAGATTTCAGGGGGCCTGTGAACTTGGATGGAGAAAATTTTTTTATGTGTTTCTTTCACTATCATTGGTTTCCTTTGTAATCCCCTCTATTTTATGCATTTTCATTATTGTTGAGATGGGGGTCAGAGATTTCATCAGATGACCGCCAAAAGGTTCCATGACACCAAAAGGTTAAGAACCTCTGGTTTAATTTCTAACTTCTAATTTGCTATTTCTAACCTGCCCTGGGCTTGGCTGAATTGTTAACCCATGAACCAGCCTGACAATTTTTGGTGGATGACTCTACTTCCATTCCATTTATTGAAGATTTTGAAAATGTCAAGGGTAATTTATGCTCAAGTCATGCTGCCAGATGTGAAAGGTTATACTTAGAGGGAATGTATTAAATTCAGGTCTAAAATCTAAGCTTTCTTCCGTTGATTTCAGAGCATTATTATAAAATAGATGTAAATGTGACCACGGTGTAGGCCTGATACATTCTAAATGACTTTCCTAAAAACATTTAATATCAGTCTCAAATATTACCTGTGTATTGAAATCCCATGGACAAAAATGAATATCAATAGATTAAAACTTTATTCTGGGAAGAGAAGATTATACAATTTGTATAGAAATTTTTCTCAAATTCGTGATTCCTGTCCTCATTTTAATGACCCTACTGAACAGATTCTAACTTTTCCTCAGTGAATATCATGATGAATCTCAATTCTTAAACTATCAGAGTAATATTCAAGGACTCTCAGTGATCTGGTAGAGTTCACACTCCTGCATAATCACAAAATAACAGATTTTATTATAGATGAGAAGTTCAGACAAACTCATGAGTGGCAGATCTACAAGGAGTTATGGGCAATCAGGATGTTTCAGGAAAACTTCCCAATCCTCTGAGCTTAACATTAAGAATGCTGATCCTGAGAATACAAACCTGGATGGACCATAAGGATTAGAAACCACAAGAACAATTCTTAGGATTTTGAAATAACTGCAGAATTAAGACCAATTAAAATGATGTAAAAATGCATATCCCCACCGAGCTCCCTCTTCACTTTGACTTTCGAACCCCGTGTCATCATTAAGGGATCCATTAGAATGCGGGACAATAAAATATGCCGTATAAATGAAGCAAACACCACATATCGAGATTTCCAAAGAAAAGATTTTACACAGCTAAACAACAGGACAGATCAGTGTAGAACACAGACACTGACACATGCAGGGCAAGGACCACCAAACACAGTGCAGTGTTTAGAGAACAGTGTAAACCTCAGGATCACTTCACTGGGAAAGGCAGAAGAGATGGAACTTCAAGCCTCAAAGATGGAAGGAAGGGGAGAAGAGAGGAAGAATTTATTAAGCTCCTATTACGTGCCTGGCATTCTGCCATGAGCTTTATAAATATTATCTCGTCTGAGCTCCACAAAAACCCTGGGAGGTAGGTGCTGTTATGACCTTCATTTTACAACTGAGAAAAATGAGGCAGACAAGTTAAGTGACTTTCCCAGGGTCACACAGCTAAACATCTGAGACTCAATTTGAATTCAGACCTTTCTGACTCCAAGCCCAACACACTGCACCAACAAGCTGCAGAGACCTGACAGTTTTGGACTGTACAGACAGGAACCTGAAAAGGGATCTGAGGACAAAAGGGTTAATGAACGGGTCAGTGTGAGATAAACAAAAGATTAAAAAAGAAAAAGACGACAACAAATGCTGGCCTTAAATAGAAACTAATGTATATAATGTGATGTATTTATGAAATTTCCTTCTTATGGGAAGAAAAAGAGAAAATGAACATGGAACATTAATTAGAAGGATTCTTAGTGGCCATCCAGTTCAACCTACCCCCAAGCATTATTTCTACAGCATCTGACAAGAATCTTAGCATCATTTTGATTCTTAGGCTGAGGAAGACTACATATTGAAATCACCTCAAATAACAGGGAATTTGGCAGGAGGGAATCATTCATTCTGTCCCTAACCTTTCCATAACACCCAAATCTTGAAGGTTATAACTTGCTCAAAAACTAGCTCAGCTTAAATCTGAAGTGAGAATTCAATTTAGTAAGCATTTATTAAGTGTCTACAAAGGCCTGTGCTAAGCACTAATACAAAGAAAGGCAAAAAAGAGTCCCTACATCAAGGTAAAGCCTAACGGGGAGACAACGTGCCAATAACTATGAAAAAACAAGATATATACATGTGGCGTGAAGTAGCATTAAGGGGAAATTAGGAAAGACTTCTTATAGAAGATAGGTTTTTAGCTGGGACTTCAAGGAAGTTAGGGAAACTAGGAGATGGAAATGGAGGGACAAAATTCCAGTCCTGGGCAGCTAGTGAATAGTCCTGGAAGGAGGCTGGTGTCACTGGATGTTAAGAGTATGTGGAAGTGAGTAAGGTTTAAGAAGACAGGAAAGGTAGGAAGTGGTCAGGTCATAAAGAGCTTAAGCCAAAGAGAGGGTTTCATTTTTTGGTCCTGGGGTTAAGAGAGAGCCACCAGAGTTGAGTGATTAATCCCGGGGAGTTAGACTAGACAGCTGAGTGGAGGAAGGACTGGAGAGGAGAGAGACTTGAGGCACCAGGGTGATGGCAGTGCCAGAGGAGGGAAGGGGCTATATGAGAGATGTTGGGGAAGGTAGAACCAATGAAACCCACTGGATGTGGTGAGGGGTGGGAGTGGGGAGGCAGAGAGAGTGAAGAGTTGAGAATGATCACAGCCATACATACCTGGAATCAGTGCCCCAATGCATTGCATAAATTTTAGCCAAGTGCCCCCTCAGCGTTCTTCTGGTGCGCATTTGGATCCGACCCACTGGATCAATGTTGGCTGTGATCTACAAAAGAAAATGGTTCTAAATCACAATTGGGAGAAAAAAGAGGTCTACCACCTAATCGCCATTTCAGTCTCTGGCTCAGGCTGTGCTTACTAACTGCTTAGACTGAATGGCTGCTACCCCAGTTCTGGTAGAGTCCCCAACTTTGCTCTAATCAGCCCTGCAATCCTCTCTCTCAGTCATCACCTCTACACTGGCTCAGCAGCTGCCACATCTTCCAGGTCCTGCTTGCTGGGCTCTGGAGCAGCGTCCCAGGTAGTCTGACCTGAAGCTTCATCTCTTTCGACTCTTCTCTGTCTGGCCTTCTAAACCCTTTACAGCATGTTACTTACTCAAAACTAGAATAAATATTCTAGGATCTCTCCTCTATCTGTGCTCTTTGTTCACCTTTTGCCCCCTGGCAATAAAATATCCAACTGGTTGCCAAGTCTTGTCAATTCTACCTTCCTAATTTTTCTTGCTTCCATCCCACTGTCTCTACTTAATAACATACTAGTAGGGTCCTGACGTCCTGCAGTAGCCTCCAAATTGTTCTCCTTGTTTCGAATCTTTTCCTTCTCCAATTAATTGTTCACAAAATCATCTTATTAAGGCACAGGTCTGACCTTGCCAATCCTCTACTGAAAACACAAAACAAAACAACCAAAACAAAAAACAACCCAGTGGTTCCCTTCTACCCCTAGGATAAAATACACATTTCTCAGCTTTGATGACATTCTCTACAATCCAGCACTAACCTATCTTCCCATTTTTATTTCAAATTATTCCTCCATGCATACTACATTCCAGCCAGACTGGACTACTAGTTATTTCCAGAACCAATATTCAATCTTCTGCCTGTGTGTATTAGCACAAACTGTGCTCCTCTATCCTGGGAATATACTCTTTCCTCATCTGTTTCTCAGAATGGAGAGTGTGGCCACCCACCTCTCCAAAGCCTACTGATATTTGGTCCAATTGCTAATGCTCTCTCACCCCTACAATTACCTACCATTCATCTATGTTAATGCTGTCCCATTAGCATATAAATGCTTCTCCACTAGATGGTAAACTCCTCCTGGGCAGGGACTGTTTCATGTTACGCCCAGAGTGCATAGTACAGAGCAGGTATCCCATAAATGCTTGTGGGCTCAGGGTAGGGAATTTGTAGTACGTGACTCTGTATTCCCAGAACTTCGCACAAGGTTCTGGCACACAGTAGGTCCATCAGTGGGAATGAAATGGCCTGTGTTTGCCCTCCCTAATCCTCTCACTTTGTCAAAACTGGGCTCAATCCCTGCCTTTTCCATTAGACTTCAGAATTCCAGTCTTACTTTTACCCTGCACCAGACAATACTGTATCTTATCATCTATAGTCCAGGGGAGGGCAACCTGTGGCCTCGAGGCCCCGCTTGGCCTTTTGACTGAATCCAGACTTCACAGAACAAACTCCCTTCATAAAAGGATTTATTCTGTACGTTTGTACTCAGTCAAAAGGTTGCAGCCCTGATACAGCATGTCAATGGGTCCACTGGTGTTAGCCTTTCCTCTCCACTAGAATGTAAGATTCTAGAAAGCAAGCATCCCATACCACTTGTACTAGTCCTCATACAAGGGGTACAACGCTGGCTCTCTATCAGCCCTGGCTTAGCAATCTTTTTACAAGTTCACTACCAATTAGGAAAAAAAATGAAAGTGTACAGTTGATAATTTTCATTAGTCCCTATAATGCGGATCTGTTATCTTTTCCTACTGTTCAACTTCATTGAAAGGAATTCCCCAAAAGACAATTTAAAACCCATCAGCCAAACTCTAGGGAATCACGAATATATTTTTTCCTTCATATTTTGGATGAGTTCTTTGGGCCTTAGATAGAAAACTCAGCTTTGAAAAGATCTACTAAGACTGCCATAACTTCTCACAACTATTTCTATGACAGGGGATTACTTTTTATAGATTATTTTTATATGAATGAAAATCTGGTAAACTGTTTTAACTTATATTCTACAGTACAACTTCATAAATTTGTATTAACTGGTAGGAAGGTTAGGCTGAGATAGAGAATATTTAAAGTTTTATTATAGACAGATATGTCTACATCTCCCCAACAGACCCCTCTTTGTAATAAAAACATTTCAACAAAGCCAAACAACACAGCAACATCAGAAAACAACACGGTATTTTGTCAAGAAAGTCCGATCTTATTGCTTTCAAGTATACAGAAGTAGCTTTAACTGAGCTTCTCAGCAGAATCTTTAATGGGCCTGCATTTAAGAACTAGCTAGGAATAATTTATAATTAGTGTGTTAATTATGCACACATATAAATGGTATTTCTAAAACACACAAGAATTTTGTTTTTGAAGCCGTTTAAACATAGTCTCAGAAGTTGCACTGCTCGACACATAATAGGCACTGAATGCTTCAATCAGCAAGCATTTCCACAGCTTCTGTGCTAGAGATCAGGGATACAAATACAAAATGCTTGTTCAATATTCTGCTTAAAATTCTGTTCACCTGGGGCAGCTGGGTGGCACAGTGTATAGAGCACCAGCCCTGGAGTCAGGAGGACCTGAGTTCAAATCCAGCCCCAGACACATAACACTCACTAGCTGTGACTCTGGGCAAGTCACTTAACCTCAAATGCCTCAACAACAACAAAAATTCTGTTCACATGTTAAATTTGTACCCAAATACCTTTTTCATGATTAATATAATGGTAAATTTCAGTTCTGAAATGAATTAGCATAAGTTCAAAGTTTATAAGATTTTAGTTTTGTAGTTAGAAGACTACCTTTATAAATTCCAAGTTTTAAGTGAGAAAACGATGAACATTTCAACCACTATTCAACTCTAACTAGTCCACAGACTCTCAAGACAGCCAAAGCACAAAGCATTATTACATTTCCAGTAATGTATGAAATAATTCAGTCTGTCAGTCTAAAGTGCATTGATTTCTGTACAATTTATAATTCTGCTTTTACAGATAACATTTAATAGCTTGCTGTCTCCATGTAACACAATTATTCAACAAAAATGTTTCAGTAACAAATTCTGCTTTCTCTCTGCACTGTCAGAAGAGCATAGCTTAGTGATGAAGAAACAAATAAAGTAATATTCCAGATTTAAAAAAAAAACCTAAAGAATATCACATGTTGATATAAATATGGAGCCTATTTACTGAGGAAGATGTATACATCTTAGAATTAGAAGGGGTACATTTCTAAATTGCCAGTGATTTTTAAAGTAGGTGCCATCTTTCACTTAACATGAACAAGGCAGGCCTCTTTGAAATACCACCTCAAGGACATGGGGAATGGCCTGAGCATCATGTTAAAACAAAAACATTGTGTTTTATCTCATAATCCCCTCTTTGAAAACTAACCTCTCACTCCATTAGCAGATTCTCATACAAAAAAGGAATCAGATGACATCCTGGAAAACATATTTTTGGATAAACCTAATAATAACAAGTCCAAAACATCACCAGTGCTATCTGAAAGACACGCATCAATTCCTAAGGACAAAAGCAGTTGGCCCCAAAAGCTCTGTGTTACAGCACAACCTACAAGCTACGGGAATTACTCTTGAACAGATTCTTACCTGAGACAAAGTCGCATCTGCACATGCTTTTCTAGCATCCTGCAAGGGGAAATTTTCGGGTGGGGGAGGAAAGAGGAGAGAAAAGTGAATGCACAAGTTTAATTGAAATCCCAGGTCCCCTAGCAAACTTCAGAAAGGATCCCTTAGTCTTTATTCCCACAAAAGCTGATCTCTGGCAGAGGCCCCAGCTCTAAGCTCCTGATGCCCTGGCTGCTTATACAACAACCACGCCTGGCAGGTGCCACATTCTACAGGGCACTTGTGCCTTTTTAAAGGCACTTTCACATCTACACCCACCAGACTCTCAAGACCATACCGTGGGGTTTGTAGGGCCAGCCTATCTCACAGGTGAGCCAACTGAGCAACAGAGGCCCACACACCTAGGAACGGCTGAGCATCTCAGCTTGAAGATTTTTCATTTAACTACATAGTCTCTAAAAGAACCTATCACCCTGACTCTGCTGCAGCGAGGTCTTCTTCCCTTTGAGGGGGCGGCTCCTCCTGCAGACCCCTGCCCCACCAGGCCCGGGGAGCAGGCGCCTCTCGGAACGGGGTGAGGCTGGTTCTCAGGTGACAAGCAGTGTGCTCATCACTGAGCTCTGTAGGAGAAGCCTTTCTGGCTTGGGAGAAGCAGCCAGAAGCTGTGCTCTCCACCCAGCCACACGCTCGAGTGCTCACGCCCTAGGAACCCTCGACCCAGGGCTCGGGTCCCAGTCCCCGAGGCAGTCGGCTCCTCGCTGCCTGCCTGGCTGTGCTCCGTCGGGCTTTCTGCCGGCTACCTTCTCTTCTCTACACTGTCCTTCATCTCCCACCCCTCTCAGCTTTCTTCTCCCATTAAACTATAAGCCCCTGGAGGGAAGGGACTGTCTTTCTCTTCCACATCTGTCAGTGCTTGGCACATAGTGGGCACTTAATGAATGCTTACCGACTGGAACTCAAAGTCACCTACATAACAAAATAAGTCACCGAAGTAGGAATTAAGACACAAGTTTTCTGCAATAATTGTATTAGCAGTGAGGCAGTCCCTTTAAATAATTCTGTTGATAATTGCTCCAAATATGCTCTAGCTGACATTTTGTACCTTTTAAAACTGAGCTGAGCTCTGAAAGGAACCCAGTATTTTGATAAAATAAGAAATGGAGAATAGGAGAGTTTATTTAATATGTGAAGTGTCTATAAACTAAAAGGACTATAAGGGAGATACTGGAGAAAAACTGCGATGATTCTACGCAGGGCAATTCCATTATTAAAAAAATTAAAAACAACCAATTTATATATACACAAAACGAGATTGCTTCAAATACTTTCATTTCAAACAATGAATTTAAGCTAATGTTTTACTGACTTTTTGAAGGCTCTACAGTACACAATTCTCAGAACAGATACCACAAACCTAACAATGCAGGAAGCAGTAATTTTATTGGAGCCAGGCTTTGATAATTGTTTAAAAGAATTTAAAATTAATGAAGCCAGGAAGAAATAATATCCATTTTTAAGCTATTTACACCAGCTAGTACTGTACTTCCATAACTGGATAATATGCAGATAGATAAATGGAGTATTCCTGCATATGGAATATATTTGCTAAGAAAGATCTAGTCACTAGCATTTTATTCACAGACCTGGATTCTAACTTATGTTTGAAGCACTACTGATTATACTGGTTTAGAATTTAAATTATAGCAGAATGAAAACATTTAGACCATTAAGTTGCACGTTCACCACTTCTTTATCCTTCTTGGTTGCTCCCCACCAAAACCGCCAGGCTGACCCTTTTGAGCCATCATTTAAATACGGTCGCTGGGTGCTGCTCACCTCTGCCAAGGACAGAAATGAACCTGAAGAGGTCAAAGCAGTTCATCTCTTATTTCTGCAGGCATTCAGATCATATTATCCCAATATACAACTATACTTTTTCAAGTTTTCATAATCTACCAGATTCCTTTTATTCACAGTAATTGAAGCTACAACATTTTAAATTAATTTTACACTGAGATTAGTGTGGTATGGTGGAAAGAAAACAAGATGAGAGTAAGGGAGTCAAGACATCTGCTTTGCCATTAACTCATAAAACTGGGCAAATGACCTCTGTAGGTCTCAGCTGGATCTTCTGGATAATGAAGGCGCTGAATGATGGGGATTTCTAGGGCCCTTTTTGCATTTAAAGAGGGAGATAGCATTTAAAATTCTAAATGGTTCTCATGAACTCTTCTGACAATTCATAAAAAAGTCTGATGTCTATTTGAAGTCTAACTTTGTCTTCTGGGGAGTCTAAGGACTATTCTTATGGTTTGGAAGAAAGAATTCATCTCATGTGTACTTGTCATGTTGGCAATTTTTATCTGATTTAGATGTCACACGCACATCACCTGCAACTTCTCCCATTATCTCCCCCTAGTCCCCTGGTCAAAAATGGGAAGAAATGCAAAATTTCCAGCTGCAGTTTCTACAATGGACATCTGTGTCTTTTATGAAATTTCATTTTAAAATCTAATTTTGTATTCTCGTTGGTTGATGTAAATATAACATGAAAAGGACAGAGGCAAAGCCAAATCATATTCTATCACTACCAGGTAAGGCTCGACTTTTCGATTTAACACAACACTTATCAGCAAACTTGACATTACAGCCAGTCATTATATATTTAAGATGGCCCTAAACACCCCCCAAATTCTGATTTCCAGGTTTTCAGTCCTAAATTTTGAGAAAACTCCCTGTCAATTTTACCATAAAGAAGTGGGTGGCTAGCAGCTGAATACTTATGACAAGAAGGGGGAAAAAACCCTCGCACAAAGCTAATTAAATTAGTATGAAGTAGTACCATTACAGGTCTGGATAAGATTCTAGCATGCCAAAATATACTGGCTGGTACTTTAAACAGAACTGAAATACAGCTTAATTTGTCAGGGTCAGGGAAAATTTTAGAAAGACAGGGTTTTTAAAACCACATTTTTGTCAATGGCTGAATGGATTTGTGTACCTAGAAATAAATTAATTTTTTGACCATTTGAAAAACAGATTTTAAACCAAAGACACGACAGTATACACTCTGGACATTAATCAGCATGTGTAAAAGCAGAAATGAAGACTCTGAAAAACAAATATTGAACCCGAAGTGTACATGAGCAGAGGCCTCATAACTATAGGTTAGAGCATATAAATGCATCCATTTTGTTTTCCTTACTTTTACTGAGCTCTATTCTGATGTACTTTTATTTTGAGGTTTTAATGCTCTCATTAGCAGAAGCAAGGGAATTTTTAAAAGTCTCATTTTATACAATGAACAAGGTGGTCAAATGACTAGCTTTCCTCCCTGGTCCTCTAGTCTACCCTTCACAGCCTGCATGTGCCCCCTTGCAGTTTCTTTGTGTTGGGCTGTAACACTATAAGCACATCAGACCAATAAAGAGGTCACAGAAGAGAACCAACTTAGAGCATGAAGGAAGCCTATAAAAGTCATCTGGTCTGAGCACAGAGTGAACTGACTTGCCCCCATAAGAGGAAGTGTGGTTTGGTGACTTGTCACGCAGAAAGGAGCGCAGTGGGACTAGAACCCAGTTCTGTTAACTCCAAATCTTGCAAGCTTTCCATCATACCATGAATCATTCCTCCCGACTCTAAGTCTCATTTTGATAATGTAGGTTATATTATAAACATATCAGTGTAAAGTGATGCTCAGTTGATCTACATGAGCCAAACATGGTTCAGATAAACTCAAGAGACACGAGGGCGAGTAAACATTTTCAGTTTCAGAAATCTATTTACATGCCATGATGCTATTTCTTCCTTTTCCGACTGCCTACCATACCATTAAGATAATAGCATCTACTAAGCCCAAAGTTACATTTTAGGCCTACTGAATTCTTTTAACTTAACATTTTTTACATCAGAGGCACATGCCTTGTGAATACAACCACTTTAAAATGGGGTAATGCATTAGGGTATTAAAGAAAAACTACTGCTTGGGCTAAATTTGAGTTTATTTTAAAAGATAATATAGTGTCTGCGTATCTCTTACTTTACACAATAGACAGATCCTTGAAAAGAGACGTGAAAATCAACTTATCTGATCTTTAACTGTAAATGACTCCTAATTCTAGTGCTTTAATATTCTTAATCTCTGGCAATCTCTTTAAGTAGGAAATTCCTATATGTGGAAATTCTTTAATAGAGCCCCTCTGATTTATCTGTTGTTTAGGTTTGAAAATCTGCATATCAGGTGTTTTCAAAGCTGCACTGTTTATAAAACCAGATTTTTAAATGCTGTATCCAACTTTGCAAAGCATTTCCATCTATATTTTATTCCTTCTATCATCATGAAATCCTTCAGATAGGTGGATCCAGTTGGTAGTGTGTTGTTGTTCAGGTGTGTCTAACTCTTCGTGACCCCATTTGGAGTTTTCTTGGCAAAGATACTGGAGCGGTTTTGCCATTTCCTTCTCCAGTTCACTTTACAGATAAAGAAACTGAGGCAAACAGGGTAAAGTGGCTCACTCAGGGTCACAGCTAGTAAGTTTCTGAGCCCTGCACTATCCACTGGAATCAGAAAGATCAGAGTTCAAATCTGAGCTCAGAGACTTACTGTGTGACCTTTGGCAAATCACTTAACTCCAGTCTAAAAATGGAGAAGGAAATGGCAAACCATTCCAATATCTTTGCTAAGAAAACTCAATGGACAGTTGGTCCATGGGGGTCACAAAGAGTCAGACGTGACTAAACAACTGGGGAGAGTAGCTGGCACAGTGGATAGAAGGGACTAATTTTCCTGAGCTGAAAATCCTGCTTCAGATACTTCCTAGCTGTGTGGCCCTAGACAAGTCACTTAACCCTGGTTTGCCTCAGTTCCTCATCTGTAAAATGAGTTGAAGAGGGAAATGGCAAATCACTCCAGCATCTTTGCCAAGAAAATCCAAAATAGGGTCCACAAAGAATTGGCTGGTAGTAATGCAGAATAAAAAAGCTGAGGTTAAGACTGAACAACACAAGGAAGTACTTTTAAATGTTAAAGAAATAAGATCTATGTTTACTTAGGATATCCAATTCAAGAAAAGAGAGACTCTCTAACGTCTTAGGCAATTACGTGAGACCAGTGTCCAACCCGCCTCTCTTTTTCTACGCAAACAATCACAAAACTTTCCCGGAAAGGACAAACATGGCACCAATATCTGAATGATGAATAAGTCTGAAGAGACACTGAGCTACGTACTCTAATTTGGTTTTTCAGTTGTTCGGCCTCCTGCCGTAACTGGTCAAGTTCACTCATTTTCTGATCTTAAAGATTTGCTTTGTGGACACCTCCAAAACTCACAGATCTGAAAAAGAAACATGGACACAAAGGATTAATGAATATAAATATTGAATGGTTTGACAAAGGACAAGCAAATGTTTTGACCAGGCTGAGCACAATCCAACACTTTCATTGTTTTGTCTTCATAACCAGCCCGTGTATGTATGTGTAAATACACGCTATGCCATTGCTCATGAACATGTTATAAAACAGTAACTCAGTTAATATTCCTATAGATTCAAAAATGTGGCTATGACTATATAGGCTTTCTTTTCAAACTTATTTTTATTTTATTTAAGAACATTTTCTGGATTTGTATTGCTGAATGGCTTCAAAATGTTCTTGATTTCATTGGTATGAATACTTGTTTGTAACCTCCAGCTCTTTATCAGACTATTCATAGGTTGCTGTGGCCAAAAAAATAAAAAAAAAAATTTTAAAAATTGCCTTGTGGCCAACCTTATGGTAATGAGTTTCTCTGTAGGTAGCTAAACCAGTGTTCAGATGACAGCTTGTTGCTAAGCTCAGAATGAAGCCTCCCTAGCTTGGAAGAATTTGTCAGAGTTTATAATCCCTGGGAACAATTACTGAAAACCCAGAGATGGTGAGACATCAGAGGAGCACTTTAGAAGAGGGCAATGGATAAAATAGATTAAAAAAAAACAAAACAAAAAAAAAATTAACTCCAGAAAAGAATTTACATGGAATGATGTGGAAGTAATCGAACTCTGTTATACGTGCATTTAAATAAAACCAAAAGTATCAGATAAAATATTTAGATAACAAGATTCATTAGATAACATACAAACACACTTATAGGTACTTATTATAGAGTCACATGGACTTGTCTCCCCACTGGAACACCAGCTCCTTGTGAATAGCATAACTGCCTCATATGGCTGACTTATATCCTAATACTATAGCTGGCACGCAGTAGGCATTGACTGACAATGCCTTTTTCATGTGCTGAAATGTTACACAGTGGGTGGGAATAAAAACTGAGAGTCATCACAGGAAATTTGGTGGGGTACCATTACTTATTTGGAAAACTCAACTTTTAGACAGTACTCAGTTTTGGAATGAAGGAGAGAGAGGGAGAGGAAGAGGGAGAGAGAGAGGGAGGAGAGAAAGAGACACCTCCCAGCAGGCAAAACAGACGTGGGATTGGACTAGATGTCTTGAAGACTTTTCAGATTCAATCACATATCCTGTGTCAAGTCCAAGAACTGAAGCTTTTACCCTTTTCATGAAGGTGAACCTCTACTTAAATTCTTGTTAACTCAACCTTCATTGCCTGGCATATAATAGTTTCTTAAGTAAAACCAAACCAAACCTCCTTATTGTAATTTTAGCATCTGAAGTCCTCTACAATCTGGCTCCCCTTACGTTTCCAGCCCAGTTCCCATTCATATGCTATGCCGTAGCTGAACTGGACTATTAAACTATTTCCTAGTTTCATTCTTTCATTCTCGCTGACGTTTGCACATGTCCCCTTTCCAGGGTAGAACCCAGAACACTGGACCCAGCTTTGAATCCTGGCTCTGTAGCTTACTGACTTTGATAACCTCTACAAATCTTGGTTTTCATATCTGTAAAATGAGGGCTGGATGCAATGACTTCTAATCTGAGGTCCCTTTCAATTCAAAGTCTATGATTCCATGAGATCTAACTGTTGAAACCCTTTCCGTTCTTCAGTCCGGATATCACTAACTTCACGAAGCCTTCCTCCTATCCCCATCTCCACACTCATGTCTCTTTTTGACTTCTATGTACTATCATTTCCACCTTATCATATAGATGTTCTCTTTCTCCTCCTAGTTTATAAGCTCCTCAAGGGCAAGACCTCTTTTTATCATATTCTCAGGGTCCAGGATTTTTAGATATTAAAATTTTAAAGTTCTTTTTTTGAGGGCAAGACTGTGGCATGGGGATGAGGACAATTAGACTGAAGACAGCTAAATAAGTCTGACTAGATGCATTCCTTTTTCTCTATCCAAATTTCCCCTTACCATGCCCAGTTATTCAAGAATGACTGTTAATATTTCTTCCATGGAGAATTCTTAAAAAAAAGGGAGAATGCAACATTATCTTCTTAGTTTAATCAAAGATACAAGTGAAATAATTCAGTAAGTTACCAGGTAACAATAAGTTCTTAAACCACACAACTTAAATATTTTGTTGCTAGCAATCAGAGCACTTTATACCATGCAAAATGACCTGTTTCTGAGGCTTCATTCATCTTGACCTCAGGAGAATATAACACTTTTCACTACCCCCTCCTCCATGGAGCTATCCCCTCCCTTGGTTTCAAGGACACCATGCTCTCTCAGTTCTTTCCTAACTTTTGTAACAACTCTGGTGGTTCCTCTTCCTGAATTCTTCATGGCTACTTCCAAGAAAAGAGCCAACAATGCAACCCATAACCAAAGAGATCTATACAATAACATATGGCGAACTAGCAAACCTAACATAAGTTGGTAAATTTGGCCTCATCAGTGTCAAGGAGACTAAGTGGATTAAAACTCACATTTCAAATATGGCCCTCCTACAGTTAATCTATATACAAAAGAAAACCTCAGAGGTAAAAGGGAGCATGAGGATATGAGGATGGTGAAGTTGTCTACTGAGAAGACATACTTGTGAGAAGAAATTTGGACAAGAAGAGAAAACACATGGGTAAAGACCAACAGAGGTAGAAGCAGAAGGAATATTGTCATTAGAGTTTACTACAGCCCACCTGGACAGAAAGAGGAAATAGATGAAAAATCTGGGAAATAAATAAAAAACCTAGCATAGAGGCATGATATGAGTGATGGGGAACTTCAATTATCTAGACTTCTGTTGAGGCTTTCTCCAAAGAAGAGCAGAACTAGAACCCACAAAAACTGAAGGAAGCAGTGAGGAGACAGAACAAGAAGAAATAAGTTGATGGGGTGAAAGTGAGGGGGAATGTTGTGAGGGTAGTCTTACAACATGTGATAAGGAGGAAGAGGAAAGATGAGCATATGTATGACATATGACAAAGACTGTAGATTTTGGAAGACTGCAGGAAAGGGAGCTGGACCACCTTTGAGAAACCACACAGTTCTCTGAATGAATCTTTTCTATGAATAAAAGACATTTTAAAATGATAACAGTCTTCTGGTGATACGATTGCAAATTAAGGAATATTAGTCCAAAAAAGTGAATTGGAGGCTGACCTCTCAGAGAGGCACATGGGTAGACAAGGAACAATCAGCTGCAACACAACAAAAGATGAATTATAGAAGAGAAACATTGTAAAGGATAGCATCAATGAAACACAACTGGAAAAGGTGAGCCATCTCACAGTGAGGATGAAATGGTGTCCACCTTATGTTAACAGACCCAGAGGAAAGTCCCCTTGAATGGGGGGGGGGGGGGATTTCACCTGACCTCTTCGAACCTCATTTCCCTCATAAAGACAATGTGAATAATACCTGCAGTATGTTTTCTGGTGGAATGGGAGACTGGTGAAAATGTTTTGGAAATCAATATGACAATAAACAATCATTAAAAGGACTCATCTGCTCAAAATATTCACAATAAGATATATCTGTAATGGTTAAAAAAAAAAAGGCAAACTTGGATGCCCAGTAAGAGAATGGCTGAATAAATTATAATTTATCATTAACACCCAACAATAAGAAAAACAGTAAATACAAAACTTACAAGAAAGTGTTGAAGGATCTACTGGGAATGTGGCTAAGTGACTTTGAAAGAGCTGAACTACTTGTGCAACGACTACAACAATCTCTCCAAAAATAAAATCAAAGGCAGTGGAAATTCAGACAGACCTGGAATGCTACATGAGGGAGGGAGGGGAAAGAAAAATAAAGCAGAACTATTTTGCTGTATTGTTTGTTCAATAACATGCAAAGGGTTTTATGTAAGATTTTATTATTTGTTTTCTGTTAATTGTTACTAAGTTTATAATAAAACAAATTCTACAGTACCTATGCTTAATCTTACATAGCAATGCACAGAACACTGATACAAAAATTATGTTTTAGGAAAAGATAATGAGTTTGGTTTTGGACAAGTTGAGTTTGAGGCATCAGTGGGAACTCCAGGAATGAGAGAACAGCACTTAATTTATAAGCCTTCAACAGTACAAAGTACAACAGAGATGTCAGCAATAACCTCTATTCTTCTAGCCTCACATGTTCAAAACCTTAGTGTTTTTCTTCTCCTTTATCTTTCATGTCCTGTCAATTCTGCCTCATCCAACTGCGTCCAATTTCTCCTGCCCCCATCCTACTACATGCCCTCATTACTGCTCATCTGGATTATTCCAGAACCTCCTCTCCTCTCACTCCCCCCTCCAATCTATCCACACACCACTGTAAGATTCACCTTCTTTGTGCACATAGCTGACCGCATCTATCTTAAGCATGACAAGATTCCGCTCAAAACTTCCAGTAGCTCAACTATCCAACAGATAAAGTGAGTAATTATTATTAATAACTCACATTTCTATAGAGTGCTAAAGGATTGCAAAGTACTTTTTCAAAACATCCACAGAGGGTACGCAGTACAAGCATTATTATGCACATTTTATAAGTGAGAAACAAACTTTGAAAGGTTACCTCTATCCAGTCAACAAGCGTAAAGCTTGCTTTTATTAAGCCAAGTACAATGCTAAGCCCTGGGATGCAAAGAAAAGCAAAAACAGTTTTTTCCTTCGAGAAGCTCCTAGTCCAATGGGGGAAAAAAGGTACACACAGGACAAAGTGGAGGTAATCCTAGAAGAAGGCACTAATAACCAGCAACGGGGACAGTGGAGATGACAGAAAATTCCATGCACTGGGGCAGCCAGGGAAAGAAAGTACCTGGAGTCATGACACAGAGCATCTTGTGCAAGACAAGAGAGTAAAGTTTAAGACTGGAAAGAAAGGCAAGAGCTTTAAAGGCCACCCAAAGGATTTATATCTGGGGGGTACAAAAGAGGACCACTGGAGTTTAGTGAATAAGGGTGAAGACGATGTGATTTGTCCATGGTCACAC